CAGGAATGGATGAGCCATACAGGTTTGTGTTCAAAAGATTATAACCTATAGGACTGGGAGGACCCTGGAAGAGAACTAGATTCAGCCCTTCAAATACCTTTATGATATCCCTCTGAAGGGCTTATACACATTCAGTGGGAGGAAAGCCACTGCTTCTAAGGCCACTGATTTCTTTTCAGACTCTTATGTGGAGCAAAGGTGGGCTTCAGGACAGTTCTTATTCTGTACTCTTAATAAGCTAATTCTTAATTCTTCTTCTTATGCTTTGTTACGAGCATACATGTAATGCTTCTTTTCCCTGAACTGTGTTTCAGGTAGCCTATGATATCTATTAGTTACCACCACAAATTTATGGTCCATTACTTTTAGCCAAAGAAGAAAAACATTCCTATTGTGTGTCGTTCTTAAATACACTAGGTAAAATCGAACATTTTCACACCCCATAACTTGTCAGGAGGTACTTTAGATAAACTAATTTAGATCAGTATGGTCTTTCATATAATTACCTTAAATTATTTACTATTAGACAAATGTGAAGTCCTAACTTCAGTTTAAGGAAGCCATTTGGAATTCTCATTTTTCTATAACCTTCATTAGTTACTAAATACCACATGGCCTGTAACAGCTTTATCAATTCCATGGGAGTTGAAAATAGCTTTGAAACTGTAAGCCAAATATTTACAAAGCTCTATCTATGATTTTGGTCATGGTTGAAATATAATAATGGCATAACCATCTAACTTATGCTGCAGGTTCATTGGGAAAGACTTAAACATTGCTTCTATTTTCTTAGTGCGATCCCAGATCTCCACAATCACAGTTGCAACCTTCAATACCACACTGGCTTCATTCAACGTGGGCTATGCCGACTTTTTTAGTGAGCACATGAGGAAGCTCTGCAACCAGGTGCCTATTCCAGAAATGCCACATGAACCGCTGGCATGTGCTAACCTGCCTCGCAGCCTCACAGACTCCTGTATAAACTACAGCTACTTGGAAGACACAGAACATATCGATGGAACCAATAACTTTGTCCACAAGAATGGAATGCTCGATCTTTCTGTAAGGGGCAAGGTTTTTATTTCCTCCAAAGTTTGAAAGATACTGGGACAGCAAGTAGAGCAGAGGTTAAGGTGCTGGGTCCCAAATGGCCAACTTTGCAATTCAAGTCCTGGACCTGGCAGCTTGGAGATCACACTGGGCACAAGGGCATGTACGCCCCAAATCCCCCAAGGATAACGGAGGATAAGGGACAGTGGAATGGACAGCCCCCCTGGGCGGTGATTTCTCACTTTCTCTCTCTCTTTCTGTCTCCAGTGAGCGCATACATCCTATAGAAAAATAACAACAAATTAATAAGCTACTCATATAAAATTTCACAAATGTATCAACCATAATAAATGCAACTTTTTCCTTTTTTAATAATTGTATTAAATTTGCTGTAATCTTCTAATACTTTTATAATCCAAGAACCTATAGTTCAAATACACATATATAGATATACATACATGTGTATGTGCATAAAAAGTTCCTTTTATTCTAGAATTAGAGTAAAAAGTTATTTGTTTATTTTCTTGTTATGTAAGCAATAGAGCTACTTGGAAGCTACCTCCTGTGTAGTCAGAGAAACGTGAATAGAAGTTTTTAAAAGATTTAGGTTTGCATTCTTAAGAGTGCCTGTCTTAAGCATAGTTATTAGCAAATCAAAGAGTTATTATATTTTATGATTATAATTCACAAAACTTTTACTGCACATTAGGGAACTTGACTCAGTAAATAATTCAAAATATTAAAATCAATAAAGGTCCATAATTTAAACGTGAAAATATTTTGCATTTTAATTAAAGTGTAAGTGATGACATGATCCTTAATGCACAAATGTTCATCTATCATAAGCAGAAAGAAATTTTTTATCCATTTTTCAAGAACACAAAAGGTAGGGGATTCAAACAGTTTGATTTAAAAAAAATCAATGGAACAACTTTCCATTTGGGCAATTGCTCTTCCATTGCTTCACTCTGTTTCTGTATCCCCATTAACTATTCACATCATGGCAAGTTTCGGAAGACTAAAGTATGATAGTACACATATACATATTTAATTCTACAGGCCAGTTATACTCTATATTAAGCACAAAAACCAAGTCTCAGTGCAACTTTGATATGAAAATTTAAGAATCGTCTAAATTATTCATGTCCAAGTACATAGAACACCCTAAGAATATGTACTAACTAGAATAACCACATCTGTTTAGGAAGAGGGAGTACAAGTAACTTTAATCATCTGTGTTTATCTTTCCTAGGTGGTTCTGAAAGCTGTTTATCTTGTCCTTAATCATGACATCAGCTCTCGCATCTGCGATGTGGCACTAAACATTGTGGAATGCTTGCTTCAACTTGGTGTGGTGCCCTGTGTAGAAAAGAACAGAAAGAAGAGTGAAAACAAGGAAAATGAAACCATGGAGAAGAGACCAAGTGAGGGAACTTTTCAGTTCAAAGGAGTATCTGGAAGTTCCACCTGTGGATTTGGGGGCCCTTCAGTTAGTGGAGCTGGAGATGGTGGAGGAGAAGAAGGAGGTGGAGGTGATGGAGGAGGTGGAGGAGGTGATGGAGGAGGAGGTGGAGGTGGCCCTTATGAGAAGAATAAGAACCAAGAGAAGGTATGACTAAACCATCTTCTGTGTGTTCATGGAATTTTGTCACTGATTTCTTTCCAGTGCATGCTTATCAGCTATTTATTGACTCAGAACAGCAACTAGTAACTAAAGCAAAATAGTGGTGAGTGTAGAAAATTCTTCATTAGGTTCTCAATAACACTAATAGAAGTAGATGAAAGTGTATCCTACATCCCCAAACCATTGTCATCTAAACAATGTTAGAGCTAAGTAGAGAATGCTATTTATTAGAGCTACATTTCACCACCAAAGACATCCTCTTTCTCAAGGATGTCTGACCTAATTGAGTGTCTTGGTCTACTGAGGCTACCACAACAAAATACCATAGACTGGGCAATTTGAAAAACAAAAATGTATTTCTTGTGGTTCTGTTAGCTAGAAAGTTAAGGTATCAGTAGAAGGTTTTATTCTGAGGTCTCTTCTTTTGGCTTATAGATGATCATCATCTTATTGTGTTTTCACTTGAGTTTTTTTTTGTTTGTTTGTTTGTTTTTGCTATAGGGCACTTGTGCTCTCCAGAACACAGAGAGAAACAGAGAGAAAGAAAGCGAGAAATCACCCCCCAGGGGGGATGGCCACGCCACAATCCCTTCTCCTCTGTTCTCCTCTCAGGATCTTGGGCACACACGCACACGTGCCTGGCATGAGTTTTAAGCGACCGAGTCTGGGATGCGACCCGCGGTTGACTACATGGGAGTCCAGTGACATGGCCATTATGCTAACTGCTGGTCCCACACATGAGTTTTCTTTTGAGAGAGAAAGTGAGAACTCTCTTGTATCTCTTTTAGTAAGGGCTTAAACCCATTGGATCAGAGCCACATTCCCATGATCTCATTTAACCCTAATTAACTTTTGAAGACCCTATTTCCAAATTACCATTAGATCAGGAGTTGAGATTTAACTATGAATTTTGGGATGGGAGGACCCAAACACTCAGTTCATCATTTGCAGCATAGTTTTTCCTATTATAAAATGTTTTAATCTTAATTTAGATAGCACATTTTTAGCAGTCATCTTCAACCACAGTTAAGGAGAAAGCCAGGGAATAATCATCTTCAACCACAGTTAAGGAGAAAGCCAGGTAAAATTTTTGCTTCATTAATTGGTTGCTTTTTTGTTTATTTGTTTGTTTTTTGTTTTTGAATTTTTTTTATATTGGTCTGGAGCAGAAACACCTTGTCTAGCCTCAGCCCTCTCATATCTTTTAGTGCCCTTAGCCTTCTTGTTACTGGTTGTTCCTGAAATTAATTCCTTGAGCCTTAGCAATAACTAGTTTAGGATCTCTGCTCTTTGGATCTAGCATTAGTTTTCTCCCTTAATTAGAGTTTTAAATACAATAACTACAGTTTAAGTTCACATTCTTTGGTTTAATTGGGAATTTTAGATTAAAGATGCTTTTCAGAAATTGAAGTAAACAAGAGACTTGTATTTCTAGCAGGTAACAATCTGCACACTGGCTGAAGTGTTTGCAAGTGTAAGATACCACTCTGCAGAGTTCTATCACCTACATAAACCTTATATAAATTAGAAGTTGTCTGGTTTTCCCCTACCGATATCAGACTTTTTGCATCTGAGTGTTACAGAGCTCCTTCCTCTATTACATATAATAGCTTTCTCATTGCTCAGTCTCACTTGGTGCATATTTAATGTACATTTATCATCTGTGTTTCTTCACCTTACTGTTTACTTCTATCTACCCAATTTTCATGAACTCTGTGCCAAATATTACTGCTCCAGAATTCTTGGGTTCCTGAACCTTTTCTTCAGGATTTTCTTCTCCTGACTTAATCATATATATGTTACTTTCTAATTACTTTCTTAATTTTTATATCTACATAGTATATTTATTTTTAAGTTAAAATTTTTTTGCAATATCCAACAGTTTTTCCCAGCATGAATACTGTGCATATTAGTCAAGTTAAGGAAATTACCAAATACATTATTATCAGCAGATAACTTTTTTTATTTTTGTGTCTATTAAGTATTTTGTTTGTTTGATTGTTTGTCTTTTCCCAGATTCTCACACTCCCACCATATATTACACATCTCCTATAAACCACCCCATATAACACACCCCTCCTATACTGTCTCTAGTATCTACAATTGCCCTCTCTACTATCATACTTTTCAATCTTTCCGTTTCTGCTAGAGAGTACATTTGATACATATTAGGCGGGGATATACAATGCCTGTCTTTCATAGTCTGCCTTTCTTTGGTTAGCATTAAATAGTCCATATTTGTCCATTTTTCATCAAATGTTAAGGTATCATTGTTTTGTGTGGCTGAATAGTATTCTATAGTGTACATGTGCCACATCTTTGCAGTCCACTATCTATTCTTGGACTTTTGGGTTGATTCCATGTCGTAACAGTTGTGAATAATGCTTTGAGTAGATACCTAAAAGTGGAATTATTGAGTTTTATAGTAGTTTTATTTGTAGGTTTCTGAGGAACCATCATATTGTTCATAGTGGCTGTACTTGGCTTGTTGGAAAAGTCATGATGCATTTTTGCATAGAAAAAATACATCATGACTTTCCTGCAACCCAATAATTAACATCCCCACCGTGTATGAAGATTCCCTTTGCAACATAACCTCAACAATACTTATCATTCTTATTTATTTATTTATTTAACAATTAAAATATGGATTTATTTTGGTACAAAAACTTTTTGAAATTCATACATAGTGTGGTTTTGATTTGTATTTCTCTTATGAAAAGAGATGTTCAACAATTTTTATATGCTTTTTGGCTGTTCATATGTCTTCCTTGGAGAGTTAGCTGTTCAGCTCATTTGCCTATCTTTTACTTGGACTCATTTGTGTTTCTTTTGGTGTGCAGAAGCTTGTTAGCTTGCTATAGTCCCACTTGCCTGTTTTCAGGTTTATTGCCTATGCTTTGGTGATCTTATTTAAGAAGTCTTTGCCCATTCCAATGTCTCCATGAGTTTCTTCTGTGTTTCCCACCAGTAGATTAATAGTTTGAGGTTTCATGTTTAGATCTTTGATACATTTTGAGTTGATGTTTGTTAATGATGAGAAATGGGGGTTCAGATTTGTTTTTCTGCAGGTGGATATCCAGTTTTTCCAGCACCATTTGCTGAAGAGATTTTCTTTTCCCCATTGGGTTGTCTCACACCCTTTTTTGAAAATCAGTTGGTTATATGTTTGGGCAAGGAGCTAATTCTGGGTTCTTTATTCTGTTGCATTGGTCTACTTGCCTGCTTTTTGTGCCAAAACCATGCTGATTTGATTATCACAGCTTTTTAATATATTTTGAGATCAGGAAGTGAGATGCCTCCTACTTTATTCTTTTTGCACAATATTGCTTTGTTGATATAGGACTTTTTATGATCCCAGACAATTTTTTTTCTATTTCTGTGATGAATATCTCTGGTAGCTTGAACAAAATTTCATTGAATTTGTAGACTAATTTGGATACGATTGACAGTTTTATTATATTTACTCTACCAATCTAGGAACATGGGTTGTCTTTACACTATTATGCATCAATTTCAATTTCTTTCTTTCTTTTCTTTTCTTTTCTTTTTTTTTTTTTTAGTTTTTCATAGTTTTTCTTGAAGAAGTCTTTCATTTCTTTGGCTAGGTTTGTTCCTAAGTATATTATTATTATTATTAGTGTTTATTATAAATGGGATTGCTTTCTTCAAATCTACCTGTCTACTCACTGTTGGTGTATAAAAATGCTATTGATTTTTGAATGTTGATTTTGTATGCTGCCACTTTATTCATTCATCACTTCAGGAGTTTTTGGTGGATTCTTTTGTTTTTATATGTATATAATCATGTCATCTGCAAATAGAGTTATTTTACTTGTATTTTTCTCTTTGAATGCCTTTTATATTATTCTTTATTCTGATTGCATTGGTTTGGACTTCCAGCACTATGTTGAAATACAGTGGAGAAAGTGAACAGCCTTTTCCTGTTCCTGTTTTTACTGGAAAAGCTTTCAGCTTTTCTCCATTCAGTATAATGTTAGCTATGAGTTTGTCATATATGGCTTTTATTGTGTTGAAGAATGTCCCTTCTATGCCAAGTTTGCTGAGGGTTAATCATATAGAAATTTTGTATTTTATCAAATGTTTTCTCTGCATCAATTGACATGATCATATGGCTTTTATCTTTCCTTCTATTAATCTATTGTTTTGCATCTGTTGAACTGCCCTTGCATTCCTGGAATAAAACCTACCTCGTCCTGGTGTATAATCTTTTTAATGTGTTGTTGGATATGATTTGCTTGTATCTTATTCAGAATTTTAGCTTCTGTATTCATCAGGGATATTGGGCTGTAGTGTTTTGTCTTGTTTTGCTGTTATGTTCTCATCTATTTTGGGAATTAAGGTGATGGAGGCTTTATAGAATGACTTTGGGAGAGTTTCTTCCTTTTGGATCTTTACAGTTTGAGGAGAATTGAGGTTAGTTCTTTTTAAAAGTTTTGTGGAATTTGGAAGTGAAGCCATCAGGACCTAGACTTATCTTCGTTGGGAGACTGTTTATTACTGATTCAATCTCATTGCTTGTTATTAGTCTATTCAGACTTTCTATTCCTTTCTGGTTCAATCTTGGTAAATTATATGTGCTTAGAAATGTGTCCATCTCATCTAGATTTTCTTGTTTGTTGATGTATAATCTCTCATAGTACTCTCTCATTATCTTTTGTATTTCTGTTATGTCTGCTTGATTCCATTGTGGTAAGAAAAGATGCTGGATATAGTTTGTATATATTTGCATTTGTAAAGGCTTGTTTTGTGCCTTATCCTGTGGTCGATCTTCATAAACATTCCAGGTGGGGTGAGGAAATGTGTATTTTGTGTTTGTTGGGCTAAATGTTCTATAGAGGTCTGTCAAGTTTATTTGACTTATGATAGCATTTAGAGTTTGTATCTCTTTTTTGATTTTTTGTGTAGATGATGTGTTCACAGGAGACAGTAGGGTGTTGAGATCCCAAAGGATTATTGTGCTACAGTCTATCTCTCCCTTTACATCTAGCAGTCTCACTCTCATTTATTTGGGTGTCCCAGTCTTAGATGTATAGATATTTATAATGTTTTATCTTCTTGGCCCTTTTAGTACTATATAGTGTCCTTCTTTGTCTCTACTTACAGCTTTTGTCTTGAAGTCTATTTTGTCTGATATCAGTATCACAACTCTAAACTTTTTTTTGCTTTCCACTGCATGGAATCTTTAGTCATCACTTTTAGTCTATGTATGTCTTTATCAGTGAGGTACTAGTATAATCTTATGTTTCTCAACTTTTTATCCCCCCATATATCACTAAGGACAATCCAAGGAACCTCAGATCTCACATTACATGAAAATTATCTGAATAATACCACAGTTCACAAGAAAAGTTATCTTGGATCCTAAGATTTAAGAAATCATTCAGGGAGCTGGCAGGTGATGTGGTGGTTAGGGGCACGGGACTCCCACATGGCCAATCGTGGTTCGAGTCCTGGACCTGGTGGTTTGCTTTCTCACTTTTCCTCTCTCCCTTTCTCTCTTGCTCTTGCTCACTCTGTTCCTCTCTGGTCAGATTAAAATAAATAAATAAATAAAGTTAAATGAAATAATTCTTTAAAAAATGACATCATTCAGTCAGCAGTTCTATAGGAATTAGCAAATAAACATAAGTTATATGGAACAAATTTATAAACAGCAAATTGTGAGGATTCC